CCGTCTGCTGCAGACCCACCTGCTCTCCAGGCTGCCGATCCCCGACAGCCAGGTGATCACCGTTAACCCCGAGCTGCCCGTGGAGGAGGCAGCTGAGGACTATGCCAAGAAGCTGAGACAGGTGAGTCCCTCGGAGTAGCTGCAGCAAGACCTCATCCATCCGATGGCCTCTCCCAGAGTGCCGGAGCCACCCTGCTGGGGGCACTGTGTGCTCAGCACTGGCAGAAATTCTCCCTGGGGGCAGTCAGCAGACCCAGCCTCACCCTGCAGAGCCCCCTTTGAGGATCCCCCCTCTGAGAGGCCACAGCCCTGCCTTGGGGGACCCCAAAGGTGGCCTGGTCTCTGACACCCTGGTAGTGGGCCTGGGTCTTCACATCTTGGGGACAGTTGTATACCCACACTGTCAGCCAGGTGGACAGTGAAATGTGGAACCTTGTAGATTAGAGTTCCTTTTTTTGCAGGTGAGGCTGAGCATTTCTCACTGGGTTACAGCGACCTGTTTTTCTGACAACTGTTTCTTTGTGTCCTCTGCGCCCTTCCCTCACAACTTCTTGGGACTGTCTTCTTTCCTCACCCAGGCATTCCAAGGGGACTCCATCCCGGTTTTCGACCTGCTGATTCTGGGTGTGGGTCCCGATGGCCACACCTGCTCACTCTTCCCAGACCACCCCCTCCTGCAGGTGAGCACACCCACGAAGGCCCTGCTCATGTCTGAGCCCCAGCCTCTGCCATCTGGGGCTTCCAGAGCGCTGGAAGGTACCTACAGCGTGGTGTGAGTCAGCCTCTGCCAACAGGCATGCCCGCTGGGCTTGACCCTTCTGAGCCTCAGTTCACCCACCTTAAAACAGGAGCCTTAAATCAAGTACCACAGGATTAGTGGGGCGGGATGGAACGATGGATGGACAGTGCTTGGCATGTGTGAGTACTCAAGAGGTCAAGTGACATTGTCCTCCTGTCTCTACCTTGGGCCTCCCTCCCCAGGAGCGGGAGAAGATTGTGGCCCCCATCAGCGACTCCCCGAAGCCACCTCCACAGCGCGTGACCCTCACACTTCCCGTGCTGAATGCAGCTCGAACTATCATCTTTGTGGCAACTGGAGAAGGCAAGGCAGCTGTTCTGAAGGTAACAGCTGAGGGCCCCCTTCCCAAGAAGGTTGTAGGCATAGAATATGGCCCTAGACACTACTGTGCTGAAAGCACCAGATCCCAGGATATTTCAATAATTCTTGGGTTGAAGGGGAAATGAAAACTGCAAATACAGGCTAGTTAGGAGTTAACAATTATGAAATGAAATGGATGAGATGAGGCCAAAACTGCTCAGAGGTAAATTCGTAGCACTTACTGCATATACATATATATTTAATTGTTAAATAAAAAACAATTGAAATAAAGAAATCAAGCAGTTTAGAAAGCTGCTTTTGCCCTGTAACAGCAGAGCTGAGTAGTTGCAACAGAGACGGGGTGTGATCTGCAGAGCCGAAATAGTGACTCTCTGGTCTTTGTAGAAGAGGTGTGTTGACCCCCATATTAAACAGTCACATGATAAAAAGGAAGAGACCCCATCCCTCCTGATTGCTTGAAGCTAGGACATCCGGGATGGGCGATATCACCTCTTGAGGGTAGGAGGGGTCCAAGGGTGCTGGGGTGTGGGCAGGGCCCCACGCTCCTGCCCTCTCCACACAGCGCATTTTGGAGGACAAGGAGGAAAACCCGCTCCCCGCCGCCCTGGTCCAGCCCCGCACTGGGAAACTTTGCTGGTTCCTGGACGAGGCAGCAGCCCGACTCCTGACCGTGCCCTTCGAGAAGCATTCCACTTTGTAACTGGTGCCGAGATGCTACAGCTGGGACCACGCACAGCCTGAGTGGGCCGGGATCTTCCCAGTCTGGGCCCCGCTGCCAGCCCACTCCAGGCTTCATTTTAGAAAAGCCGAGTGGTGCCACTGGAAGCCGATAGGGTCTGGCCACCAGCCCTGCCCAGGGGCTCAGCCCATGGGCCATGGCTCTGGGTGACTCAGTTATTAAAAGGAACATCTCTTTGAAGTCTCCGCTGTCTCGTGGTCCTTGGTGGGCAGTGGGACTGTTGGTCCCTGGGTGGAGGGCCTGACCTGCAGCCCTCATCCCAGCACGTGGAGGGCAGGGAAGGGCGCCCTGGATGAGTGTCCTGGGGCTGCCATAGCGGAGTACCACAAACTAGGTGGCTTCAAACAACTGAAATTTATTGTCTCACAGTTCATGAGGCCAGGAGTCTAAAATCAAGGTGTCAGGAAGGTTACATCTTTCTGGAGGCTCTGCAGGAGAATCTATCCCAGGTCTCTCTCCTGGTAGCTGCAGGCAATTCTTGGCCTTCCTTAGCTTGTAGACACATCACTCATCTCTGCCTCTGTTGTCACATGGCCTTCTCTTTGTGTGTTTCTCTGTGTCCTGTCCTCCTTTTTTTTTTTTTGTCTGTTTTTTTGTTTGTTTTCTTGGCCATGCCACTCGACTTGCAGGATCTCAGTTCCCAGAGCAGGGATTGAACCTGGGCCACGGCAGTGGAAGCCCAGAATCCTAACCACCAGGCCACCAGGGAGCTCCCTCTTGTCCTCTTCTTTTTTTTTATAGATAAGATTTTTTAAAATATTTACTTTATTATCATGTATCTTTGGCTGCATTAGGTCTTCGTTGCTGCGCATGGGCTTTCTCTAGTTGTGGCGAGCGGGGCCTACTCTTTGTTGGGGTGCGTGGGCTTCTCATTGCAGTGGCTTCTCTTTTTGCGGAGCATGGGCTGTAGGCGTGCAGGCTTCAGTAGTTGTGGTGCGCAGGCTCAGTAGTTGTGGCTTGCAGGCTTAGTTACTCTGCGGCATGTGGGATCTTCCTGGACCAGGGCTCGAACCCGTGTCCCCCTGCATTGGCAGGCGGATTCTTAACCACTGCGCCACCAGGGAAGCCCTCCCTCCTGTCCTCTTCTAATAAGGACACCTGTCATTGGATATAGGACCACCCTAAATCCAGGCTGAGCTCATCTCAAGATCCTTAACTCATTTTGTCTGTAAAGATGTCTATTCCAAATAAGATCACATTCTGAGGTTCCAGGGGTTAGGCTGTGGACATATTCTTTTTTTTAAACTGTGTTAAAATACACATAAAATTTACCATCTTAACCATTTTTAAGTATACAGTTCAGTGGTATTAAATACATTTACAGTTTTAAGCAGCCATTACCATCATCCGTCCCCATAACTCTTTTCATCTTGTAAATCTGAAACTCTGTACTTATTAAACACTAACTCCCCATGCTCCCCTCTCCCCGGCCCTGGCAACCACCATACTATTTTCTGTCTCTATGATTTTCACTACTATTAAGTGCCTCGTGTAATTGGGATCATACAGTATTTGCCTTTTTGTGACGGGCTTATTTCACTCTGCATAATGTCCTCCAGGTTCATCCATGTTGTAGTGTGTGTGAACTTCCTTCCTCTTTAAGATATGATGTACCACAGTTTACTTATCCACTCACCGGTCAGTGGACACTTGGGTTGCTTCTGTGTTCTAGCTATTGTAAATAATGCTGCTGTGAACACGGGTGGATGAATCTCTCTTCCAGAGCCTACTTTCAGTTCTTTTGGATATACGTCCAGAAGTGGAATTGCTGGGTCATAACGCATATGGTAGTTCTATTTTTAATTTTCGGAGGAGCCTCTGTACTGTTTTCCACAGCAGTTGTATCATTTTACATTCCCATCAACAGTGCCCAAGGGTTCCAATTCCTCCTTATCCTCGCTAACACTTGTGTTCTGTTTTTCGTTTGTTTGTTTTTTTTTGTTTTTTGCGGAACGTGGGCCTCTCACTGTTGCGGTCTCTCCCGTTGCGGAGCACAGGCTCCGAACGCGCAGGCTCAGCGGCCATGGCTCACGGGCCTAGCCGCTCCGCGGCATGTGGGATCTTCCTGGACCGGGGCATGAACCCGTGTCCCCTGCATCGGCAGGCAGACTCTCAACCACTGCACCACCAGGGAAGCCCCTGTTTTCTGTTTTTTTGATAGTGACCTGTGGACATATCCTTTTGGGGGACACAGTTCAATCCCCTGCCCACTCACTTGGCCGAGCTCCCGTTGCACACCCAGGGCCAGTCGTGACCTCTGCGCCTGGCCATGCTGCAGTCCTGCTCAGAGCCTTGAATGCTCCGAGGTGCTGCTGCTTTGCGTCAGGACTGCAGCATTGGCCCAGAGTGCGTCTGCTCATGTCCCACCCATCAGTTCTGCCCGGCTCCAGGGACCAGGGGAGGCTGGTGGGAGAGGCACGTGGGAATTGAAACCTTAAAGGTGAAACCACAGAAAGCGAAGTTTCCTTCAACGTCTTGTCTGGGTTGATCACTCAGATGTGAGAGTGAGGAAGTGGGGCGGGGCTGAGCGGAAACAGATTGAGAAAAGCAGAGTAGAGAGTTGGAAGGAAAGCAGCCTGGCCGTGCTTGGGCAACAGCAGGTGCCACTAGTGGGAAGACCCAACTAATCCGATCCAGTCCAGGGCTTTGTGCGCCGATAGGGAATGGACTGGCAAGGCAGGAACCGAAGGGAAACAGCCCACGCGTCCACGGCACAGCAGCGGCTCCCCACCCGCTCCCACTACCCTGGCACTGACCCCAGGGGCCCGGGGTGTCAGTCCACTTCTGTCTTCCCAGCCTGGTGCTGGGCCTGGGCTGGATCCTCTTGGGATCCAGAGTCACCCGGCAAGGGGTAGGTACAGGATTTAGCTGCCCCATCTCTGCCCAGCCCCCCTTCCCTGCCACCCCACACCAACTGCTCTCAGGTCCTGCCAGATATCTGCCCTGCATCCGTCCTCCGAGGCCAGCTGGGACTTTTGTCTCCCACCACCCCGTGCCCCCCCCAACCCGGGGCAGCCCCTACAGAAACCACCAGTTTAGGGCACTTGGCCACAGGGGAACTGGGAGGGCACAGGTGCAGGGTGGGGTGGGGCAGGGGGCGGGGCGGGGCGGGGAGCAGGCATCCCACACCACACTAGGACCATGCTCTGGCTTCTGACCCCAGGCACTGGTCTCTGCAGCATCCAGGCCCCTCAGGTCACCTTGCTCCCAGGGTGCCCCTGAGCTGAGGAACTGGGGGGTTGTGGGGAGGAGGGGGGTGTGTACTTCACTTTCAGGGGAGCCCAGGACACAGTAGCAGGATGGGTGGGCGGCCCTCGAGCCCCTTGGACAAGCGACAGCAGCAGCACCTGAGGGGTGAGTGGACTGGGAAGGAGCGAGATTTTGGCGGGTGGGGTTTAGGGCTGGGTTGTCAGGTACACAGGGTGACCTATTAACGTGAATTCTAGAGAGGCAATGAATACTTTTTTTAGTATAAGTATGTCCCAGATTTTGCAAGAGGGCATACGTATGCTAAAAATGTATTCGTTATTTACCTGAAATTCAAATTTAATTGGCGTCATGTACTTTTATTTGGTAAATCTGGTAAACCTACTCAGGGCATGGGTTTGGGGTGGAGGGCATAGGGCCAGGTGGGAAGTGCCCCAAGCCCAGCCAGATCTTGTGGGATGATCCTCCCAGGTGGGCAAGGACCAGTAGGCCCCTCAGTGTGGACCCCCAGGGACTAAGTCACAGTTCTTGATTTGAGACAAAGAAGGGCCAGTGTCCTCCATCCTCCACACACGCAGTTGAGCACTTACGGTGTGCTGGGCACTGGGGATATGGAGGGGGGGCTCATGATCTAGACTAAGAAACAAGGCCAAGTTGTCATTACATGAATGGATTCAATAAGCTACTCTGCAAAGTGTTGGAATTTTCTTTTTCTGTAGTGGCTTAAACGAGATAAAGATTTGTTTCTCTCTCCTATAGAGGGGAACAGTGGCAGGCAGCCTGATAAAAGTCAGACAACCCATCCCCTTCCATATTATGGTTCTAACATGCGTGGCTTCTGTGCCTGAGGTCACCTCATGACTCAGAATGGCTGCTGAAGCTCCAGTCATCGGATCCACATTCCAGGCAGCAAGATAGATGTGTTTTACACACAGTCAAGTGCACACATATTAGGGGAACAGCTTGAAGAACTTTAACACTTGTGTAATCACCTCCTAGATCAGGATACAGAATACTTCTATCACCCCAGAAAGTTCATGTGTGCTGGGTGAGGTTTTTAAAAGATTTTGTAAATCTCCCCCAGTAAGGGGCAGAAGGAAACTTTCAGGTACAATTGATCTGTTCTTTATCTGGGTCACGGTGATGGTGTCACGGGTGTGTACATGTGTCAAACTCATTCATTTCTATGCTTTATACATTTAAGGTGTGTTGTACATCGTTTATAAATTACGCCTGAATCCTTTAACTCCCCCACCCCCCACCAACCCCCATGTGGATAAAAACAGGCAATGGAGGGTTAAGGGTGAATGGAATTGGAGCATGTCTTCTGGGGCAACTTTGGGGTGCGGATAGGAATCTGTAAGTGGCTTCTCTGCCTGTTCTGCCCCCACCTCCGGCAGGTTGGGGGGGACCTGATTCAGCCACTTCACTATCCTTTTGTCCCTGCAGGCCAGGTAGACACCTTGCTGAGGAACTTCCTGCCCTGCTACCGCGGGCAGCTGGCAGCCTCGGTCCTGTGGCAGATCTCCCGAGAGCTGGGCCCCCAGGAGCCAGCCGGATGCCAGCTGCTGCACAGCAAAGTGGGTGCCGCAAAGGGGGAGGGGTGCTGAGTGGGTGAGGCTGGGGAGGCCATTCGTTCGTTTGAGGGTCCCTCCTCACACCTTTGTCCTTGCTGGTGCCACGACCTGGGGTGACTATTAAAAATTCATTCTGGAACTTCCCTGGTGGTGCAGTGGTTAAGACTCCGAGCTCCCAATGCAGGGGGCCTGGGTTCGATCCCTGGTCAGGGAACTAGATCCCATATGCACGCTACAACTAAGGAGCCCGCCTGCCACAACTAAGACCCGGCGCAACCAAATAAATAAATAAATATATAATAATAATAAATGCTTAAAAATTTGTTTTTAATTCATTTGTTTTTTGGCCATGCTGCGTGGCATGCCGGATCTTAGTTCCCTGACCAGGGATCGAACCCGCACCCCCTGCAGTGGAAGCGTGGAGTCTTAACTACTGGACCACCAGGGATGTCCCCAAAATTCATTCTTCGAGCAAACATTCACTGGGCATTTACCACGTGCCACACCCCTGGCTGGATGCTGGGGACACAGTAGTGACCGAGACAGATCCCGCTTTGCCCTCCGGGGCTCACAGTCTAATTGGGGGAAATGATCAGTTTGTTGTCAAGTTAACATATCATGATGCAGGATAACTTCTGACAGGTGCTAGAAAGACAAAATGAAGGGCGGTGTTGGGGGCTGGAAGCTGGGGTGTAGGAAGGTCCTTCTGAGCTGAGACATAAAGGATGGGAAGGAGCCAGACCTGAAGCCCAGAGTGGGAAGGGCATTCTAGGCAGAGGGCACAGGCAATGCAAAAGCTCTGAAGTTGGAAAAGGTGTGGCCTGGCTGAGTGCATCACCCAAGGGCACAGCATGCCCACTGGACGCCCAAGCCTTTGCATGTGCCACCCTCCCCATTCTATCCCATACTTCGTCTGCTACTTCTTCCAGGAAGCCTTCCTTGACTACTGTTACCCCCACCTGAGTCGGGCACCTCCTCTGGAACCCCTGTCTGTCTGCTCCTCCGACGCAGCCCGGGCTCACACGTCTGCCACCTCCATCTGTCTGCTTTGTGAGGACAGGGTCCAAGCCTTATTTCCCCTTCCCCCTGACCCCATTGTGCCCACATGGTGCCTTCACTTAGTAGGGGCTCAGGAAGGGCTTATCGATGGAACAAAATAGCCTGGAGCTGCCCAGCCCCAGCTCCAAAGGTCTCCTAAGCTGGCAAATGGTGTCCAGGATCTCCATGTGCCCTGTACAACTTAGTTCTCACTAGCCCAGGGGATGGGTCTTTGACCAATGAGGAAACCAAGGCACAGAGAGGTGAAGTGACCTAACTGAGGTCACACTGCCAGCAAGATGCAGAGGCGAGATTTGAACCCAGAGCCCAGACTCCTTACAAGGGATACTGGGTCCCCTGTCCCGATCAGGGCTCTGAGATTTCCTCTCTTGGACACCCCTTCTCCCAGCTGTGCCTGCCCTGGGGTGGGGGCTCTGTGGCACCATGGACAGAGCCCCCTGCCACCTGGGACTCCCCCTGTCCCGCTTGGGGCATCATGGGGCCTGGGCATCGCCCCCACCTGCACCTTCTGTCTCCTGCTGGTCCCAACCCCCTGGGCCAGGGAACAGCTGACGTTGGGGTTCAAGCAGCGTGGAGGGATTTCCCCTCGCTTCAGCTGAAACATTTTCTTTAATACTAGTTTTATCTATTTGCATTATGTATATCATTTCTATGATAACATTTTAACACTATTACTATGAAAAATCTCAGACTTAGGAAGAGAGGTGGAGAATCATCTAATAAACCTCTGAGTTCCCACTACCCGCTGAAGAATCAGAACATCACAAATGCTGTTTATTTAGTCATCAGATATTTACCGAGCACCAACTGTGTAGCAGGAGCTACTCTGGGACCATTGGTGAAACAAAGGCACCCAATTCAGGTGGCCAGGAAGTGAGAAGAGGGACAAAGAAAACGAAACAAGGTGATGTCCCATCTTGCCTGAGGGAGGGGTCTGTGGGCAGAGGCCTGGCCATTTCTCATAACGTTAAACTACACCTGAAAAAAAACAAAAATAAAAAAACTACACCTGCTCCACGACCTAGCAATCCCACCTGTATCAGTTAGCTATGCTGTGTAAAAATACACCACCAAATCAGTGCTTCAAACAACACGTTTGTCATCTCAGTTACCGTGGGTCAGGAATCTAGATGGGGCTTTGCTGGGTCCTTTCTTTCAGGGTCTCTCACAGGCTGCAGTCAAGATGTTGGCCAGGGCTGGGGTCTCATCTGAGGCTCAACTGGGGAAGGGTCCGCTTGCAAGCCAATAGGAGATAACAAAAGTGTCTGCCTCAGTTCATAGTTGGAAGTGCAGGCTGTGAGCGTGCTTGATAAAGAATATAACACCACACCAGCAGTGCCCAAGCACCTGTACAGTAAGTCCCCTACATATGAACCTTCAAGTTGCAAACTTTCAAAGATGTGAATGGGCGTTCCATCAGCATCAGGCGTGAGTGAAACTGCAGCTTGCCCTCCGTCTCCTGTTGCTGACGATCCTTCAGCTCTACCATCTCCCACCTCCTCTCCCTCCTCCAGTCAGTCACTCTTCTTGCCTGTTCACTCGATGCCAGCCCTGTATGCCAGCTGTTGTACTGTACCACTGTACTTTTCAAGGGACTCTACTGCAAGATTAAAAATGTTTTATTTTTTTGTGTGTGTTTGTTTTTTATGTATTATTTGTGTGAAAAGTATTATAAACCTATTACAGTACAGTACTATATAGCCGATGATGTTAGTTGGATACCTAGGCTAACTTTGTTGGACTTATGAACAAATTGGACTTACAGACTCGCTCTCGGAACGGAACTCATTCGTATGTAGGGGACTTACTGTACTTGGTGGCACCCGAGACACAGGAGGAGCTGTCCAGGTGGTCTGGACACCGGGACACTGGCCCATGTTCTTGACATCCGCCCGCCCCTCCTCCCACAGAAGCTGCCCCGAGTCCGGGAGCACCGAGGGCCCCTGACCCAGCTGCAGGGCCACCCACCTCAGTGGCAGCCAATCTTCTGTGTCCTGCGTGGGGACGGCCGCCTGGAGTGGTTCAGGCACAGGGAGGTGAGTGAGCGGCCTGCAGCCCATCTACCTCTGTCGTCTCCATCCCACCCTCCCCAGTGTGGGTTTGGGGTCCAGTTCCCAGCATAGCCCCCCTCCTTTCTTCAATCATCAAGTAGGGCCAACCTGTAAGCTTGGCCCTGGGTGGGCGAACATCTCCTGCTGTGCCAGGTGGATAAACTGAGGCCCAGGCCAGGGGTAGGGGCTCACTCATGGTCATCAGCAGAGCTGAGGTTGAAACCATGCAAGGCCTTTGCACATGCCGCCTGTGCCCTGCTTTCCAGCTGAGGAATTCAGGCAGGTCACTTGTCTCTCTGGGATTCAGTTTTTGCCTCTGTGAAATGGGATGATGATGGTCCACGCCACATGGGGCTGTAAGGATTCAATGGGTTAGTCCTCATATAGCACTTGGGACTGGCCTAGCACACAGCAGGTGCTGGGTGCTCCACTATGGGGAAGGGAAGGAAGGAGGGATTGAGGGAGGGGTGGACAGAAGGAGGGAGGGTGGAGGCAGGGAGGTAGGGTGGAGGATTTCCCCAGTTAACCCAAAACCTTCCCCTGATCCCACACTGGGATATGGAAGCCACAGTTTAGACCTGTCCCAAAACGGTTCTTTGGATGCCTTTTGCAGGAATATGAAAATGGGGACCGTCCCCTGGGCTCCGTGGTCCTGACAGGGTACACAGTCCTGACTTCCCAGAGTGAATATCTCCACCTGTTGGACACTCTCTGCCCAGAACCCTCAGGTAAGGCTCCCGGGGACCCCAAGAGCAGGTTTCTCTACTTCAGCACTGTTGACACTGGGGCCAGATCATTCTTTGCAGTGGGGGCCACCATGTGCTTCACAGGTTGCTGAACAGTATCCCTCGCCTCCACCCACCAGATGCCAGTAGCACTCTGCATCCCAAGAGCGACAACCAAGTATATCTCCAGACATTGCCAAGTGTCCCTGGGGGCAGCATTGCCTCTGGGTGAGCAGCCTCGCTCTAGAAAGAGAAACACCCATTCTTGTCAGGGTGAAGGAGTTAGGTCACCGGACCAGAATCAAAGCAGCAAAGGGTAAAAACGATAAAATATGGTGTCAGTAAGCATGTGGGGAGATGGACAGTGGTGGGCAGGAAAATTGCACAGACTTGTTACAGCGTGTAATTGGTCCGTCCAGTGTTTCCAGGATGGTTCTCCTCCCTTCCCCTTCCTCCCCTTCCTCTTCCTCCTCTTTCTCTCTCTGAATAGGTAAGGAGCAGCGTAAGTGGGCTGGCATGCATCTGATGAGGGCCTGCATCATCTCCTTGAATCTGCCCAGGAGGCAGCCCCATCACTAACCACCCCATTTTACAGAGGGGGACACTGAGGCCAAGGGCCGTCACACAGTTAGTAAGGGACAGAGCCAGAATTTACACCTTTTGCTTCACTGCAGAGCTATCCTGCTGTTTAATCAGGCGAAGATGTAGCAACAAGAACCGTCTGCAGAAATGCTGATGATGTCGAAAACATGGGAATCCACCCACATACGCATCCTTTGGGGTTGATTAAATAAATCACAGCTTGACCCTCAGGAAGGAAAGCTGTGCAGCCTCTGAAGGTTTCCCAGACATATGCAGGAGCCCGAAGGCCAGTTATAAACCAGAAAACTCCACATTGTTAAAAAAAAAAAAAAAGCACGTCATACAGCTTTGTGCAGATTTTAAAATCTGGAATAATGTCCCCCAAACTGTTAACAGCTATTATCATCTCTGGGGGCTGCTATCGAAGGGCTGGATGACAAAGGACGTCCACCTTTTTCTGCATTATTATTATTTTTAAATTTATTTTTGGCTGCATTGGGTCTTCGTTGCTTTGTGCAGGCTTTCTCTAGGTGCGGCGAGCGGGGTCTGCTCTTTGCTGCGGTGTGCGGGCTCTAGGCGCGCGAGCTTCAGTAATTGTGGCACGTGGGCTTAGTAGTTGTGGCTTGCAGGCTCTAGAGCGCAGGCTCGGTAGTTGTGGCGCATGGGCTTTGTTGCTCCGCGGCATGTGGGATCTTCCCGGACCAGAGCTCGAACCCGTGTCCCCTGCATTGGCAGGCAGATTCTTAACCACTGCACCACCAGGGAAGCCCTTTCTGCACTATTGCATTTTACTGCAGTCTGTATGTATCACTCTGGAAATCTGAACAAAACACTGAGGATTTGGGAGACTCCAATTTAATTCATCAAAATAAATTCACTCATTTTTGTCCTCCCAACAGTTCTAGGTCATTGGTATCACTTTTTAGCCCATTTTGCAGGTAGGAAAACTGAGGTTTTTTCAGGGAGATGAAAAGAGCTAGCTCTGTGCAAAGAGCTAGAAAATGGTCTGGCCAGGTTTGAACCAGGGCCTAGCCGACTCCAGCACCCCACAGCAGGCAGGGCTCAGACCACATGCCAGCTAGGAGAGATTGTTGGTGGCTGCCTAGGGCTGCTGTGTTAAGCATGTTGCTCAGGCTGGGAAACAGTGCTGGCATGGATTACTGATGTCTGCCCTGGGCACACCTCCTCCTGGGACTGAGCTGAAGTAAGGGTTCTCTACACATTTCATGGTTATTGTCTCCTAGTGAATGAATGATTTTAGAGTGAATGAAGATGCGACCTCCTCTGCTTTCAGGACACCATGCACAGGAAGAGCCTGACCCCCTCTTGGAAATGCCTGTCAGTTTCCCCCTGTTCCTGCAGCACCCCTTCCGCCGGCACCTCTGTTTCTCTGCAGCCACAGCGGAGGTGCAGCGTGCCTGGAGGCTAGCCCTGCAGGGCGGCATCCGGCTTCGAGGCACAGGTGGGTCCTGGGAAAGGGCAGGCAGTGGTGGAGCACAGAGTCTGGAGTCGGAGGGTTCCGCTCCTGCTGGCTGTGGGATCCTCTCCAAGCCTCAGTTTCCTTATTTATAAAATGGATCGTGGGGGAGGACAGAGGGGAAACAGGCAGTTGTGCATGGCCCGGGCTGTAATGAGGGCACAGCACCATGGGAGCTTAGTCTGGGGGTTCAGGGACGGGATGTCCAAACTGGGGTCTAAAAAAGATGAGGGGCCAGCCAGGTGAAGAAGAGGAGTTAGGACTGACACATCTGGGCAGGTTGTTGACTGAACAAACGTACCTAACTGGAGAGGCAACTGGAGACCGCAGTGGGATCTGGGCTGTGACTGCCTGCCCAGGATGCCTTTTCCAAAGTGGTACACAGGCCCCTTATGGGCTGGTGATAAACGTAGGGGAGCGTGTTCCCGGCGGAGGGCACTCCTTTGCGCAGAGGTCTGGAAGTGGGTGAGACTTAGCTGTTTGGGACCTGGCGAGGAGGCGGAGGGCTTCCTTCTCAGGCGACGGGGAGCCAGGCAGCCTGAGAGCAGGGGAGGGGTGGACGGGCACTGAGGAGCCGCCCCTCAGTCCTGCAGCGAAGTCAAGCCCCAGCCGCCCGTGCCTTCCTGGACGCCATACGGCTCTACCGGCAGCAGCAAGGCCACTTTGGCGACGACGACGTGACCCTAGGCTCGGACGCCGAGGTCAGTGCCGCGCAAGGCCGCACCCGGGACCCCCCTGACCCCTTCTCGGCCCACCGAAGCACCCATGGTCACCTCTCCCGCAGGTGCTGACTGCGGTACTGATGCGGGAGCTGCTGCCTGCGCTGCGAGCCCAGACCCTGCCCGGCCTGCGCGGGGCCGGCCGCGCTCGGGCCTGGGCCTGGGCCAAGGTACGCATGCGGTGGAGGAGGTGGGGCAGGGACACGCGGGAGGCCGCGGATGGGGATAGGAGCCGGACCCGGGTGCTCAGCTTCGCCCTCCCTGCGACTGTCGCCCAACCTCTCCGCCCATCTCTGTGCGTCTGTCTTCTCTCTGTCTTCCTACCCTCGCCCCATCTCGTCTCTCTACCGCGTCCCTGGCCCGTGTGGGGTCCCCTCGGCTGATCTGGGCAGCTACTGGACGCCGTCCACGCTGCAGTCCTGGCCGGGGCCTCCACTGGGCTCCGCGCCTTCCAGCCCGAAAAGGAGGAGCTGCTCGCCGCCCTGGAGAAGACTATCCGCCCAGACGTAGATCAGATGCTGAAGTTGCGGGAGCGCGTGTTAGGGAGGCTGCAGGGTGAGGTCCGGGGGCGTGGCCTGGATGTGAGGGGCGGGGCCGGGAGCCTGAGAGGAAGAAGGGGAACAGCTTGGGTGTAAGGGAAGGGGCCCAAGGTCTGGGACCCGGTGGAGGCAGGGCCGGAGAAGAAAAGGGTGGAGCCTAAGTGGGAAAATGGGCGAGGCCTTGATGCTTTGGTGGTGAGACTAGATTTCTAGACAGGGTCAAGAGGGAGGACGGCGGAAAAAAAAAAAAAAAAGAGGGAGGGCGGGTGCTTGGGAGGCGGGAAGGCCAGGGATGGAGCTGGTGAGCCCGGAGACCAAGACTGGGTGGGGAGAGGGGCAGAGGCCTTGGCGGTATAAGGCCTGACTCCAGTTGTGGGTTGTCCAGTCAGACAGCGGAGATAGCTCTCACTCAGCTCAGTAACAAAGAGAACAGAGTTGGAATCTTAACTCTGCCTCTGTGTGCAACTTTGAGCCGATCCCCATGGCACTTGGCCTCGGTTTTCTATTCTGTATAATGGGGTAGAGGAGGGGGCTCAAAGTCAGGGCTCCCGTCTACCTTACCCTGTTGAGCCCATGGCCTCACTCCGTACCCTCCACCTCCCAATTTGCGGAGCACCTCGAGGAGGAGATCCAGGCCAGTGTCTTCCACTCGCAGCCAACGTCCAGGGTCCCCTCGAATCGTGCCTGCGCAGGAAGGTGGATGCGCAGCTGCCCCGGGTCACGCAGACGCTGCTGAGCACCGTGGAAGCTGAACTCACGGCAGTGCAGACCCTCCTAACCCAGGGCATGGACCGCCTGTCCCGCCACCTGCGTGGGAGCCCCTCCAGCACCCGGCTGCGGAAGGAGGTGAGGTCCAGTGGGTCGTGTTTCATCGGGCCTATGGGCAGTGTGTTAACTTTATAGAAGAGTTGCATGCACCTTGAATCTTTCTTGTTTGAAAACCTTCTCTTAAAAATCTCTGAACTTTCTTCTAAGCTGCATTTTACTTACGGTGGTCCACTATGCTATGGTCACTGGGGCACGGTTTATAACATGGGGGGAAGGAGTAAGATGACAAGATTAGCATTTTAGTAACATCAATCTGGAGTCACCTTCCCTACAAATTGTTCCTCCTCCCATTGCCTTGTTTGGCCACAGCCCACCCCATTCCCTGGGACAGAATTCTGCAACACGCAGGTCAGCTCTTTTCTTCTGATATTAAATGAGAGCATACTATGTGCCAAGAAACCTTCAACTCGTTAAGTGTCTGTTGACCTTTAAAATGAAACAGCCAGTTATTTTATCAGCAGAACATTTTGGGAAGGGAGGTTAGCATGAGAATTGCAATTCGGGACGCGCAAGCTATGGCAAAACCAGAGGCAAGTCTGGCAAACGAAGGGGAGGAACATTACTTTATAGAGAAGAAGGAAAAAATTGGGAGGGGCAGCTCTCAAGGAAAGTCCATTGAAGAAAAGCGAGAGTTCAGGGTGGTGACAGTTTCTCATTGGCTGAGTGGTGGTAGTTTCTCATTGGTTGGGGCTGTTACTGCATAAGGAGAAAATCTTCCTCCTGCTGGAGTGGTAAAGTAGTAACCTTCTTCCAGTTTGGGGTCTGCAGAGGGCAAGGAGTGGCAGTGCACGAGAGCGCCCCCCCCCGCCCCTTTCAGGGCTTAATGATTTCATATTTATTTATTTAGCCACGCAACTTGTGGGATCTCAGTTCCCCGGCCAGGGATTGAACCTGGGCCACCGCAGTGAAAGCTCCGAATCCTAACCACTAGACTAACAGGGAACTCCCATGACTTTATTTTAAATGAGGTTTCCCTTTATTAATCTTCACATCTCCATTTCATAATCACCTCCTCCAGGAACTTTCCCTGGTCCTTTCTGCATCTGCAGCTGCGCGTGCTTCCCTCCTCACAGGAGTATTAACTCACCACTACCGTTGTTTGTCTACACTCTGTCTCCTCCAACTTTTCTGTGAGCAGTTTGAGGGCAAATACCACTTTGGATTATTGCACTTCTGCAGCCGCAGGGTCCAGCACAAAGAGAACATCAGGTGGGACAAGGGCTGAGTGTGCCCCTTTCCCCTCAGCCACGCCAGCACCACATGTTATCATTGGTTTCAAGTTTTACCGTTTTATGTCCATCACACCATACCTCACAGTTACTTTTATTATGCATTATTTTGGTGACAACTGAGGCGGGATGTGTTTCCATTTGTGTTTCTCCTTCGATGAACTGTCTATGAGGTCCTTAGCCTTGCTCTTCCATGGGCTGGTGGTATTTTTCTTACCTGACTGCTATGGGAACACAGGTTTACTCATTTGGGGAGATGCCATGGGACCCAGAGCTGATGCAGACCTGCTACCGAGAGGCGGAGCGGAGCCGGGGGCGCCTGGGGCAGCTGGCAGAACCATTTGGCTTCTTTGGAACTCAGAGCCTGGTGTTTGGGGCCCAGGATCTCGCACAGCAGGTAAGGGTGAGTGGGAGGCTGGGAGGAAGTGAGTCAAGGATGGCAGCCTCCAATGAGTAGGTGCCGAGTGTGTGCCAGGGAGACCACGATGACCCAGACAGACCCGGCCCTCCCTCGCTGGACTCCCCAGTGTCATGCAGACATGAGCTCATGACCAGGCAGGCAGTAATCACACATGATGGGCAGGGCTGTGATGGGGACACACAAGGTGCTACGGGAACCCTGAGGAGGCGCCTGATCCATCTCCAGGGTTGGGAAGGCTTCCAGGAGGAGAGGACTGCCAGGCTGGGGCAGCTGGGGGAGGAATGGGAATGGGGCATGTCCTGGGTGGAGGGAACAGTGTGGATAAGCCCTGGGAGGTGTGAGAGCGTGTCCACATTTGGGGAAAGTGAAGCAGTTTAGAGACACTGGCTTGTAGATTTCATGGGAGGGCATAGATGTGGGAGATATGCCAGCGAGGTGGGGGGGCAGATGGGTCAGGGCCTTGAGTATGGGGCTCAGGGGGCTGGGCTCTGTCCAAGGGCAACAGGAGTCACAGCAGGTGTGTGAGCAGGGGAGGGGCATGGCCAGATTCAAGGTTTTTTAGAAAGCCCTGCCTGCCCTGGGGAGCAGGGGCTGTCGGGGGCAGAAGTGGAGGAGGCAGGGAGGAGGTCTGAACCAGAATGGGTCGGTGGAGAGGAGCAGGGTGTGTTTTGAAAGCCAAGGGGTTGGGACGTGCTAATGGACATGGTGAGTGAAAGAGACGGGGACTGAGAAGACCCAGTGCTGCCCGGCACGGTTGTTCAGTTTGTACACTGCACAAGCCTGCTCAGCCAAGGAGCCTGGACTGTGGACAGCTCTCTGACCCCCATGCTGGGCATCCTGGCACTGAATGGATGACCCCCGAGTCCTGAGAGGAAGAGAGTGCTGTTTCTTGGGACAAGAAGGAGGTTGGAGGGAAGTAGTTGGTCAGGGCGGGCTGGATGCTGAGAAGGGTTCAACCGAGCAGGCGTAGAGCCCAGAAAAAGCATGGATTCCCAGGGTTCATCCCAGCATCTCTTCCCACAGCTCATGGCTGACGCCGTGGCCACCTTCCTGCAGCTGGCTGACCAATGTCTGACCACGGCTCTGGACTGTGACCAGGCTGCCCGGCAGCTGGAGAAAGTCAGGGGGCGCGTGCTGAAGGTGAGGTCTGTGGGGAGGGCATGGCAGTGGGCCTGGGTGCTCAGGTGGTTGTGAGACCAGTTGCCGTGTGTGTCATGCAGAAATTCCAGTCGGATAGTGGCTCAGCGCGGAGGCGGTTCATCCATGGCTGGCTGCTCTGCATCTTCTTGCCCTTCGTGCTGAGCCAGCTGGAGCTGAGCTGCAAAGCGGTGAGCTGATGGGGGACGGGTCCTATACAGCAACCAAGCATCTTTCTGTAAGGCTCATAGAGCCACCTTGATGATTAGAGACTTTTGTTCCCTGAGCCCAGGGGCTGGGTTGGATGGCTCTTCTGGGACTTCATGATGCCCTCTGCTTCTCCCATGACAATGCTGTGTCTGCAGAGCTGGCGTGGGGTCCCATGCATCACATATCAGCAGGTGATACAGGCTTCAGAGAAGGGAGGAGGCAGAGGGGGAGTGTATGTGTGTGTATGGTGAGGGTGCTGAGTGGTTAGGGGGGCTGTCTCTGAGAAGATGATGCTTGAGAAGCAGTGAACTAAAGGCATGAGCCATGTCCTGGGGAAGAGTATTCCAGGCAGAGGGTACAGCATGTGCAAAGGTCCTGAGGTAGGTCTGTGCCTGGTGTGTTGGAGAAACAGAGAATAGGCAAGTGTGGCTGGAGCTTACCGAACAATGGGGTAGGAAGTAGTCGAGGGGAGAGGTCACAGGGGCCTTGCTACGCAGGCTTAGGGGCGCCATGAAGGGGTCTGCATCAGGGGTCAGGCAGGAAGTGACTGTGAGGGGTCCCAGCAGAAACACCTGTATTATTCCCATTGAGGTGTGATGTGCTTTGTTTCACCGATTCTCACAACAACCCGAGGGAATAATGAGTCAAGGAGTCCATTTTAAAGATGAGGAAACTGAGGCCCAGGTTTTCCTAGCTAATCAGTGACAGAGCTGGGGCTCAAACCCATGTCACACAGAGCCCACCCCTCCAGCCCAGCCCCTCACCTGCCTCGCTTACAGGAGCTGCCTGAGTTCGAAGGGGACGTCCTTGCTGTGGGCAGCCCTGCTCTGACCATTGAGGGTATTTATGAGGATGTCATCCGGGGGGTCCTGCTGCAGAGGATCAGTCGAGGTGAGCCCCACCCCCTATGGCTCAGGGGAGCCTGGTGACCCCTGGCTGTGTATACTGAGCCCTACCAGGGTCCCCATCGCCTCTCACTACCTGTGAACACTAGTCCTTTGACTAAGGGCCAGGACTGGGACAGAGCGGGTCTGGGGTGGGCGAGCCTAGAGGGGCAGTGATGGAAGCTCCCTGAAGGAGGGGGCATTGGAGTGGGGCTGTGACGGATATGCAGGAGTTCTTAGGATGAGAGAAGGGAGGCAAAATTTAAAAACTGGGGATAGACATTTACATTTACTCATTCAACAACCTCTCCATGTTTTATTCTGGGCTGGCATTGAGCCCTCAAGAGTACGTGGACTTGGGGTAGGCCTCTTAGGATTTCCTGGGCTGGAAAGAGGCTCCTGACTGTCTCTTCTCCCTCCTGCCTTGTCTGTTCCTTCCTGACCCAATGCCTATGACTGCTGAGACGTGTACTAACAGGGGAATGAGCAATGTGTAATGGTTATTCAGGGAATGTCACAGCTGACACAGAAGGAAGGAGAGGAGGCTGCAGGCTGCCAGGGCAGACGTGCAGGGCCTTGAATGACAGGCAGAGGAGTTTAGACATTTTGTGGCAGGCAATAGGGAGCCACGGAGGGTGTGTGAGCAAGAGGGCAACAGTGGCTAGACTGGAAGCCAGGGAGGAGGCTGAGGGCCTGGTCCTGGGGGGCAAAGGATGGACTCGAGCAGGGGCAGCAACCAAGGGGACGGAGCCCAGGCATGAGGATGAGACGGAAGTCAAAGGTTGTTGTTGGCCTGGGGTGTCACTGGGTGCATGGGAGGGACCACAACCCTGGGGATGGTGTAGAGAGAAAGGAGAGGAGTCCCAAAGAGCCTGGATTTGAAGGACACAAAGAGGAAGAAGGGATGCAGAAGGAGTAGTCAGAGAGGTGGGAGAAACCCAGAGATAGCAGTGTTCTGGGAGCCAGGAAGTAAGGGTGAGAAGTGTCCTTGAGGCCAAACAAAAAGAACCGAGTTCCTTTAGAATAGGGGCCATTTTACATGGAAAAAGACTAATCTCTGATTGGAAAAAATTTTTCAGAAACAGGTTTCCATTCCTAGAAGTTCTACTTGTACTGAAGGTGGGGTGGGGGTGGGGTGTTTCCATCCTCAATTGATTTGTGATGTCTGCTTGAAGCATTGTCCTGGAAGGTGGGGTAGGTAGCATCCAGGCTCAGTGAAGGTGTGGGGATCGGCTAGCAATGTCTGCCATGGGCACAGGTGTGGAGAGAGGCTCATGTGAGCCACTTGTTTAGGGTTCCTGGTTGAGACATTTCTTCCATGCTTTGCCCTCTTGTGGCCTCTCTGGGAAAATTCATGGAAGCCCTGGGATTCTGGGGCTTATCCAGGTGTGTCCGGGGGTTTAACTCTTTATTTTTATTTATTTATTTATTTATTTTTGTGGTACACGGGCCTCTCACTGTTGTGGCCTCTCCCCTTGCGGAGCACAGGCTCGGGACATGCAGGCTCAGCGGCCATGGCTCACCGGCCCAGCCGCTCCGCGGCATGTGGGATCTTCCTGGACCGGGGCACGAACCCGTGTCCCCTGCATCGGCAGGCGGACTCTCAACCACTGCGCCACCAGGGGAGCCCTATCTCTTTATTTTATTTTTAAATTTATTTATTTTTGGCTGCATTGCGTCTTCGTTGCTGCGTGCAGGCCCTCCCTAGTTGTGGCGAGCAGGGGCCACTCCTTGCTGCAGTGTGTGGGCCCCTCACTGTGGTGGCTTCTCCTGCTGTGGAGCGTGGGCTCCAGGCGCGTGGGCTTCAGTAGTTCTGGCACGCGGGCTCTAGAGTGCAGGATCAGCAGCTGAGGCACGTGGGCCCAGCTGCTCCACTGCATGTGGGATCCTCCCAGACCAGGGCTTGAACCTGTGTCCCCTGCATTGGCAGGCAGACTCTCAACCACTGCGCAACCAGGGAAGTCTCTCTTATTTTAGAATTGAAAAAAGCCCTTGGTGCCAGCAACATGTCCTGCACTCTGGATGGCTGCTCGGAGCTTCCATGGGACCAAGGAGAAACAGGTGGGGACCTCACAGGTTCTTGGCCCATGCCAGTGAATTGCCAGGGTCGGGGGGCCTGTGTGGGGTATACAAGAGGATTGTGAGTGTGGGTTCCTGGGTGGAACAGTATGCACCTTGTCTCCTGACTTGGCCAGGTTGGCCAAGCTCATGGTGAACTAGGGCGATGGGGAGCCAAGGAGTGTGCCTGAGTGTCAGAGGTATCCTCTGACATGCATATGAATTTGTGTCCCATCTCTTCTTGCCAGACCTCTATAGGGCCTCTCCCAATGGCTACCAGTTCCCAGCACTTGTGGGGGAGATAGTGGTGATGGGAGCCTTGGGTTCACCTTAACAATGGGTGCATGGAGCTGTGCTCAGGGCCAGGGCAGCCTGGCCTCCTACTATAGCACCCTACAGAGACCTCCTTGTTGCAGCAGTAAATGTGTGTAGGGCTGAGGCTGACGCTGCTGGTGGTGCAGGGATCCTGAACTCCATCCCTAAGACGGAAATGTTTCATGGGGACTTCCCTGAAATGGGACAGAAAGCAACTCGTCCAACTAGAGGCGGCCCAGTGGGCAAGATGTTTATAATCTGGATGTTCAGGACCCAGGGCAGATGCAGGTATTCTGGAGCAGCTCTCAGCTCCTCAACCCCCTTGGGTATCATTGTTATGAGAGCTTTGTGAATCCACCCAGCTAAGCAGCTCCCACATTCTTCACCCACAGAAACTCTGAGATAATAAACGTGTATAGTTTTCAGTGGCTAACTTTGGGGGGTCATTTGTTACGTGGCAATAGCTAACTAATACACTCCCTAGCTGATTGGGGGCAGCATCTCATAGTCAATTGCTGCAGATAAACTGATGAATGTCCACACTCACTGGGATACATTGAAGATTAAACAATCTTAGAAAGACTTCTGGGTGTCATAATATTTGGGGATTTGCAACCGGGGATGAAGGATTGTGGATGGGCTCCTTAATCTATTTAACCAGAATCTAATTGATGATGGGGTTTTGCTTCTAATCTTTTGCACTAACAGCTAACACCATAGTGAACGACCTTTTACATACTTTTCATGCAAGGGGGTAAATCCCCCAAGGTGAAATCTCAGGGTTTAGAGCATGCATGTTTGTCATTTCAATAGCAGTCTTGAGAGTGCTCTCCATCAGAGTGGTCTCACCTGGTGCCCACTCATCTGTGTGGAGGTGGCCCATTTCCCCACAGGCTGTCAGCCGACTTGGGATTTCCCAGATCTTCTGGGTAAAAAATGTGGTCTTGGCATCATTTTAATGAGCATGTCTTATTGGGGATGAGGTGGAGAGTCTTCTCATGTGTTTAGGAGCTTGTCTGTGAACCTCCATTTCTCTCTGTGGCCCACTTATCTTCTGGGTGCTTTTGCATTTCTATTAAATTATTCTCGCTAAGCTTCCAATTACTGGGTATTTATTATGTGCCAGGCATTTGATGTGTCCAAATGTTTTGGCATCCTTATGACACTTTCCATTTTACAGATGTGGAAACTGAGGCTCAGAGAGGCACTTACTCCAGGCAACCAGGCTCCAGCACCGAGGTCTAGCCACTCTGCCCACTGCCTCCTCCAGGGACGTTCCAGAGCTGAAGCTTTGCCCACATTCATCGTCATTCTCAATGGATAAATGTCTACTAGTGGAATTTCTGAGTCAAAGCATATGTACCAGTTCAAGGCTTGTATAATCCCCACACCTCTGCCTTACTCCTCTCCAGAAAGTCTATGCCTTTTAACACTCTCACCAGCAGCATTTATACGTATTCTCTTTTCCAAACACTAGGAATTTTCATAAAAGGAAAAACTGCCAGTTTGATAGACACACACACAGAGTGCATTGTTTTATTTAAAATTTCTTGGATGACTACATTGAACCTGAAAATATGTTTATTGACCATTAATATGTTTGTGTGTTTCTTATTTATTTATTTATTTTTGGCTTTGTCGGGTCTTAGTTGTGCCATGCGGGATCTTTTGTTGTGGCGTGCAGGTTTCTCTCTAGTTGTGGCGTCAGGGTTTTCTGTCTCTAGTTGAGGCGCCTGGGCTTATTTGCCCGGTGGCATGTGGGACCTTAGTTCCCCGACCAGGGAACGAACCCGTGTCCCTTGCATTGGAAGATGGATTCTTTACCACTGTATGTGTGTTTCTGTGTTTTCCTTTCTTTTCTTTTCTTTTCTACTGAATTGCCTGTTCATAGCTTTTGCCTACTTTTGTCTTCAGGAGAATTTATATTTTTCTTAATGATCTCTAATAACTCTTTGTATATTAAGGATAGTAACACTTTCTGATACGCCACAGATTTTTTTTTCAGCTTGCTGTGGGCCTTTGGGTTTGTTTACTTGCTCCAAATTCTTACCTTAGTATCAAGTTTCCCAGCTTAGAGCTTTTACTGCCTTCCTCTGTTTGCCAGAAAAGCCATCTGTCCACTGGAGCCTGGCAGCTTCACATCACAAGACTTCCAGCTGCTTCCGGAGCAGGTTCTGGGAGGGACTTCCCCAGTGTTTTTCTCAGTTCAGCTTTCAGAGGGGGGTAATGCACACTCCATGGTTTCCTCCCCCAAGAGAATGAGATTTTCCTCACCTTTACTTCCTAACTTTTGCCCTACTGTCTCTTGCACACACTGAGGACACACGATCTGTCCCCTGAATTTTACTTAACAATATTGAGCCCCCAACCCCACCACTCACGTTAATAAATAGATACCTGAGCATCACAAAAACGATGAATTAGAAAACATATTAGATTACTGGAAAACAGCCCCCTCGTAGCATTTCTTTGGAAACGTCCACCTCCCTCCCGTTCCATCTACACACAAGCCTGCGGGGTCGTTGACTCCATTTTACAGATGGACAAACTTAGGCTCACACAGACGGCCCACTTGGGGACTGGATTTGAAGCCAGGTCTGGGGACGCCAGGGCCCACGCGCTTGGTACTCAACAACCCTTGAGGGCATCCCAGGGAGGTCGAGAACTAGAGTGGTAAAACTCATGTTGCAGCAGAGGAAACTGAGGCTCAGATCTTGAGTCCCAAACCAGATCCTGACTATCCAGGTTCGACTCGTGACACAGCCGGTCTTATACAAATGGAAGTTGGATGGCGAATCAGGCTGGGATCCTGGCGAGAGCAGCTGCTCGGTGGCAGGGCAGATTCTGAGGTCTGACGGCTTTATCGCACAGACCCAAGTTCAGAGCGCTCAGCGTCTTGGGGTGGGGGGTCGGGGGAGGCTGGGGCTTCCCGGGCAGGCCTGCAGATTGACGTCACTTCGAGCGGGCCGCTGAGGAGGGTAGGAGGCACTTTGTGTCTTTAAGGCCGTTTGGAGGCGGGCCCTGACGGCTGACTCCGCCAGGAGCTCTCCTCCCCTTTAAGGCGCGAGGCAGGGGCGGGGTCCCCACGGCCCCTTTAAGGCACCGTCCGCGTCCGCCGGCAGAAAAGCGGCTTAAAGGCGACGCGTGGCGCGATGGCGGCGACCCCACGCGCATGGCGGGGGCACGGGCGGCCCCTCCCGGTGCTGCTGCTGCTGCTGCTGTTGGCGCTGCCACCTTTGGAGGGCCCGCCGGGCGCCGCCGCCTACTTCCCAGAGGAGCGCTGGAGCCCCGAGTCGCCGCTGCAGGCGCCGCGCGTTCTCGTCGCGCTGCTGGCGCGCAACGCGGCCCACGCGCTGCCTTCCACGCTGGGCGCGCTCGAGCGGCTGCGGCACCCCCGGGACCGCACAGCTCTGTGGTGAGCGCGGCGCCCGCGGCCCCGTATCCGGCCTGCTGTCCCCATCCCGGCGGGTCCACGCCGCGCCCCGCCCGCTGTCCTGGCACCGGGCGGGGCGGGCCAGCCCTACGCGTGCCTTTTGCTTGCTGTCCCCCATCAGGGCAGGCCAACCCCGCGCGTGCCTTCCTGCTTGCTTTCCCCCTGCCGCATTAGCACCAGCCGGAACGGCGCTTTGCCTGCTGGCCTCTTTAGGGTGGGGCGGGCCACAGTTCTGCCTTCTGGCTCCCGCATTAGGGCATATCCGGGATCACCCGTGCGCACTGCCCGTGCACACACAGCTTCAAAGGGAAGCCTGAGAACCCGCCCCCACCCCCAGTTGGGGCGTTGCAGCGGGCCGCATTGCACTTCTACTAACTGAACTTTTACGCTCCTGCTGCCGTATTGCTCCCTGAACCCAACCTGAATCGGACCTCCTGCCTTGTGACTACTGGAGTGGGTGGGTGGGGTAAGGGACGGAAGGCGGAAGGTTGCCAGGAGTGGATTCTTCCTAGAAGCAGAATGGGGCAGGGCCATGAACAAGCCTGACTGGTGACTTACCGCTTCCTACCTCAGTTTCTTCATCTGGAAAATGGGGATACTAATATAATTCTAGTTGGGTTGTCTCTGAAGATGAACAAGTTACTGAGTGTGAAGCCCTTGCGCCTGGCATCAGTGACCAGAGCTGTGGTTATTATTATCATTACTGTTATTATTGTCATCGTTGCTATCCTTGTTGTTGACTAAATAACAGTTCTTTTGGGAGAATAACTCTCAGCTGATGGTCAAACTAGACTTCCAAATATTCCTTTTCCCTCCAGGCCGGATAATCCAAGCACACAGTTGGTGTTTAAGAAATGTTTGTTGAACGAATGAGTGACCACAGCCCACTCCAAAGTGGTATTGCTCACAGGAGAGAATTGAGGAAGGTGGGGCAGGACTGCATGATATATATATATATATATATTTTATTAAATCTCACATATTTAGTAGCGAATGTGGTTATAAGATCCTTGATGCCCCATAGTACGAACGTCATCTAATATGTTTTTCCAAAATTAGCTTGTTTTAATCCCCTCTGCAGCCCCGTGAAGTGGGCCCTGTCCTCACCCCGTGTGTCACGGATGAGGAAATTGGGGCACGGAGCGCGGAAGTGTCTTGCCCAGGGCTGTGTAGCTGGTGGGAGGCCCAGCCAGGTCGTGGGAGCCCTTGTTGCCTTGCTGCTGCTCGTCCTGCCTTGGTCTCCCTAACTTCACTCACTGGCCCGTTCTGTCTGCAGGGTGGCCACGGACCACAACTCAGACAACACGTCAGCCGTGCTTCGGGAATGGCTGGTGGCCATGAAGAGTTTGTACCACTCTGTGGAGTGGCGGCCGGCAGAGGAGCCGAAGTGAGTGCCAGGCCTTGCCCTGCCCCCTGCCCCCAGCTGGACTTGGCTGTGCCCCTGCTCAAACACCCTCCATGACTCCCCATCATCCTGGGCCAGCCCCCAGCCCCCAGTCCCTGATGCTGTAGCCCAGCTCTGCAGCCTTCAGCGCTGGCTGTGGCTACTCTCACCCACCTCAGCTTCACCAGTGGGTCATAAGCCTCCCGTTGGACCTTTGCCCCGCCGTTCGCTCCACTTGGAATTCCTTCATTCCTTGGTCTTTGTGGTGGACGCCCACTGCTTTGTTCCCTGTGTCACTCAGCTGCAACATCAGCTCTGCTGCTTAGCGTCCCCATGAGCCCCTGAGTGATGTGGACTTCGGTTCCTTTCACTCTTTCAGGATTTATTTCTGTACCCACCCACTGCCCAGACCAGATTAGGAGTCTGGGAGGTCTTTGGGTCTTCTCTCCTAGTGGCTCCCCTCACCCTCAGGGATGTCTCTGCAAGGCAGTAGAGGCCCTTTCCCCTCCCCTCTGGGCATTTGCACATGCTGTACCCCCTACTGGGGACACACCTCCGTTCTCCTATTTTCTCCTTGCTTCTTCCCAGCCTTCAGATCCAGCTTACACATCCCCTCTTCCAGGAAGCCCTCTCTGACCACCCCACATTCAGCCAGCTCAAACCTCTCTGGGCTCCAAGAATGCCCTGTGCTTCCCACATCACAGCTGCCTCTCCACAGGTCCTACCCAGACGAGGAGGGCCCCAAACACTGGTCTGACTCACGCTATGAGCACATCATGAAGTTACGCCAGGCAGCCCTGAAATCGGCCCGGGACATGTGGGCCGATTATATCCTGGTGAGTTTCTTGGCCAGCCAACCCATGGGTCCCTAGCCGAAGGTCTGGGGTATCCAAGGGAAGGCAGAGTGGCGGGATTTGGAGACCAGCCTTGACCTCATTTTACAGAGGGGAAACTGAGACTCTGAGAAGGGAAGTGAGTTGTCAGAGGTAACATAGCAGGTTAGTGGAGGAGCTGGGATTTGATCCTCGGCCACCTGGATTCTTAATCATCAGGAACAAGTGGGCTTTTGTGTCCCCAGCCGACCCCTGTAGTTGCACACTTGGGTCATCTCCACTTTTATCAGCATCACCAGTGATGTGAGTTCTCTCTGCAACCACGATGATGACCTCTGGGTCACTCCAAGAAGCAGGAGGATGGGGCCGGGGCTGGGGGATGCTGGCGACACTGAGCTGCTGAGCCCTGACTTTCACTTCCTCCTCCTGGGCCTCTGGGAAGAGGGGGCCGGTTGAGGTTTTGAATGCAATGTTGGGTTACGTGCCCACAGATCACGGGTCTCCTGTGAGCTCCTTCAGCCTGGCTCCTTGACCTGGGCATGGTCCCCTCCCCTGGTGCGATGGGCAGGGCATTGACAGCTGAGCCTGGTTCGCCATGGAGGTTGAATGCAGTGATGCCAGCCTGACAGTGCCCGCGGCGGGTTTCCATCTACGTGCCAAACCTCAAGCTTTGGTCTCTACCTTCTTAATTTATTAATCAGCATATACCTATCGTCCACTCCCTATGCCCTCCTCGTGCCGGGCCCTGGGGACACAGCGAGGATCACACAGGCTGAGCCCCACCTTCCTAGCATCCCAGGAAAGGTGGATGTGACCAGAAAACAAACAAAACTGCATGAGGAAATACCAGAAGGCGGCCAGCGCTGTGAAAGGCACTTGAGGATATATCAGTGTTCTGGGGCTGCCATAACAAA